TGGGAGTTCCTGCGCATAACTTACTGCTGAAATACCTACGGCAGTATCTGGGAAATTAATATATCTTTCGAAGTTTGTTTGGGTTTCTACATGTGGTAAGCTCGTGGAACCTTTCCTGTTGTTGGTGACTTTCTCAGGGTATCCTGCCTACTAGGACACATCGCACTTTAGTGGTTGTTCTTTAAGCCCAGGAAACAGTGTTGTTGGGTCACCCAAGCCTTGAGTGGTACGGGGAGTGTTCTACGCTCGACCCTCGGTCATCTTGGGAATTCCTGCGCATAATTTACCACTGAAATACCTATGGCAGTATCTGGAAATTAATATGATAAAGACACGAGTGTGCAGCTCCGAAGCGCTTGGGGTGGCGGCACCATTAGTGGGAGTGGGAGGCTTACTAGTGGCGGTGGGAACGTCGCCCGGGCGCAGTAGGTAAACTAATTCCCAGCCTTAATCGTGTTTGGAGGAATGGCTGACCTTCAGAATAGGGAGGGTGTCACAGGGTCACCCATGCCTTGAGTGGTGAGGGGAGTGTTCTACGCTCGACTTTGTGCCACTGGGAAATTCTCGCTATTTTTCTTTCCACCCCCTTTTTAGGCGCGGTCATTCATATCCGTCCTTCTTTTTGGGAATTTTCTTGGATTTTCCATATGTGGCTGCTTTCTTGGTTGTCCTTAATGGCTTGTTGTTTTTAGACACTAGTAATTAGTTGAGTTCTAATTTGGGTTATGGTTAAATTAGTAGGTATTTGGAAGGGATTTTAGATTTGAATCGTATCTAAGAACTTAGTTGGTTTTGGAATAATTTTAGGGTTATTTGCAAAATTTTCGTGAATTGCCTTGGGGCATTTTCGAGGTCTGCAGTTTACAGCCCCCTGTTTGGAGCCAGTAGTGTTTCGATTTTAGAAGCATGCCGGTGCTCTGCTGTGTAGGAAGGACATTATATTGGGCCTTGCCACACCTATCCTGAAAACGCAAAAAAGTTCGGGAGCACTCCCGAACGCGGGAGATGTGAAAAAACCTTTCGAGAGGCCTCGTCGCCACACTGTGCTCTCCAAGGCGGCAGTCTCCAATTCGTCAGACGAGGCCCTACATTTTTTGGAGAGCGCAGACAACGGGCCTCGCCACACCACTCTCGAAATGTGCAAAATGAGAATGAACTTCCCCCTAGAGGGCTCTGCTGTGTAGGACGGACATTATATTGTCATAGATTTGTTTTGCTTTTTTGGTCATTTTTTGGAGAATCCTCTAAGGGACACTGGACCCGGTTTCCAGTAGCCTAAGCTGAGTATTGGCCTCAGCAGTTGTGTACCGGGTTGATATCTAGGGCGTGTTCACGGGCCCCCATGATCTCATTGGAATGAAAAGTGCCATGTTTCTCCAAAAAACAAAAAAACTATGAATCACCAGGGGCCGTACTGATATTGAAATCGACCGTCAGAAAGCAGTGCTATGCATGGTGGCCATTACCCCACACGTCCGCACCACTCACCAGATGTGCAAACAAAATGAGAATGAATCTTTCCCAAAAACATGCAGAGACACACAGGCATACTATATTTTGTCTTTTGTGCCCTTGGTGAGCAGTGCGGCAAGGACTCTGTTCTGTTTTTTTTTCTTTTTCTTTTTTTCCGGTTCAAGTAAGCTATATTTCTTCTCTCATCTATCTCATCTTCTTGCCAGTTCTCATCTATATATCTCATCCTCTCGCTACGTAGTCTATGTACATTACGGGGGAACACCAACCAACCCGGATATCTCCCTACCGACAGGGGTAGTTCCTTTTTTGGGCACCACAGCAGTGGTGCAAGAGCAAGTCTGTATCAGCAGTCCCTACGTTGTTTGACTTCCATCGTAGCGTCTTCCCTTGGCACTGAAAGTCGGCAGAACCCTCGGATGACACGAAGCACGAGTGCCGTCGGGAAAAGCTGTCACCTTCGTGAATTACGCGAAAGAGATTGGCGCTGTCGAGTCACCTCGGACCAAATCTTTTGAGATCCTCGTGACGTGGAGATTTTTTTTTTTTTTTTTTTTTAATAAGCGTGGAGATCTTGAACGTTGCTGTTAGAGGTGTGTGTCTTCCTTTTTTTTTTTCCCAGTTGGGCGACGGTCTTGAGGGGTGCTCGAACTGGCCGGGCAAAGGTCATTGATGAGAGAGAGATTTTACTCATCTGTCGCTGGGGTCGAGCTCGAGTCTACTTCTCGGCAGGTCATCGGCATACCATTCAGCCACATGGGCTACCGTAGATTTATCGGAGTTGTCTGTTTGCTGGCAGAGGGTCAGGCCCCACTGGTGCTATGTTCGTCATTGGAAGCATTAACATGGCCTTGATCGAGGACAGGTTCATCCTTCCATAGCATGAACATAGCACGAGTGTGGCTTATCCGCGAGTTACGAACCTAGCACGGGTAGGGACTGGCCGTTACTAATTGGATAAAAAGCACTTTTTTTATCTTTCCTTTTTTTTTCTTTTTGGGGTTGGATCCACCCGAGGGTGGGTAGCCTAAACCGTATGTGTTCATATAGTCCGTAGACTATTCCCGTCCTTATCGAGGGAGATGCTAACCTTCTCTCGGCTCAACGAACACTTTTTTCTTTCTTTTCTTTTTTCTTTTTTCTTTTTTGGAAACGGCGACCGCCTTGCCGCATCATCATCGTCTAGCTGACCGCGGAGAGGTTCCAGCGACAGGTAAGAGCCTCGCTCCACTACTCGCAACATGCACAAGACGACAAAATTATGTTGAACGGGTAGGTCGACAAGTGGTGTTCTTTTGATGCTCTCGTGCATTCTGCCCACCAGTATAATGTCCCATCATCATGAACGTATATCTACGAGCCCGTTCTGTTCAAATACTGGGGCATATAGACAAATTTGCCCAGGGCCTGGTAGGGGTACTACATGCATAACATGACAGGTCCAGTTGGCGAGTGGGGTATTTCGCAAAGTGTCACTACTGTCATAGGGGTATTACGCCATCCCATGCCTTTTAGCGGTATCCCACGAGAAACCCAAACTCTCAGGGGCATTTCAACAATTTGCTCCTTTCTGTTCTGCACCTTCTTCAGAAGTTATCATATAAATTGCTGTCTCGACGAGAGTGTCCCGATGTGTGTTAGCACTGTTAGGAGGTGACGACAACCATAGCTGAATGGTCCGAAGCTTCTTTCAGTCTCACTGCCATAATTGCCATTGAATTTGGCGGTAACCGTTGCCGAGTGGGAGCGAGCATCCGCATCAAGTTGCTGCCCAACACCAGCAAACGAGAATCGGAGCACAGCAATCAGGGACAACAAACAGCGTCACCACTGGCCGGCAGGTATCGCCGACTATGCCCCGCGTGCTTTCGTAGCGCTGTCACCGGACGAATTCCCAGTTCTATATACATGTCTCCATCTGTGTAGCCAGGTGTACATACCCATCTGGATGCGGCGAGTATAGATATAGTCATATATGCTACGTATATGTGTATGACATTGTGTGTCTTATATTACCACCTAACATTCGTAACTGATTCTGTGTGTGTGTGTGTGTGTGTGTGTGTGTGTGTGTGTGTGAGAGAGAGAGAGAGAGAGAGAGAGAGAGAGAGAGAGAGAGAGAGAGA